GGGTAATAAGATTACCATGAGGAATCAAGGCAGTATTGCACATAAAACATTTATAACTTGCTAGATGTTCAATGGATGTTTTAGTGTCTTTTTTCAGTAAGATCAACGGAAAGAAGTGAATTTATCAGAATAAGGTCGCGAAATTATTGAGAGCAGAATGTGTTCGTCATATAACCTATCGCAATGTGCTTACTATAGTTATTATAACTGAAATACAGAAACTCACCAGAGAATCCCTCCATAAAACAAAGAAAATACAAAATAAAATACAATAGATCCCCAGGTAACAAGATGGTTGATCCAAGTCCAAAAATGAGTTTCCAAAGCCATCTACAAAAAAATAAATAAAAAATAAAATTTAAGCCTTAAAAATAAAAATAAAAGAATAAAGCTTCACTTTAACCTGTCAGATAAAGCTAAAGAATGAAACATATCAGTTATAACTATCTCAATGTCCCGTGGCACAGGCACTGAGAAGGTAATATGAGAAGCATGAGGGTAAGCCTCGTCAAGTTTACGTTTTGTTCTCCTGGGCAGAAGCAACACTGGGATGTATGGTTCCTAGCCTCACCACCACGGCCTAGGGCAGAGTACTCTCCTTGTGAGAAGCAAACGTTCACAGCTGACCATCTGACCAGACCAGTCAGCTAAGGCTCGCCAAGCTAATAAACTTAAGGACTTTTGGACAAATATTTTAATGAATTACTAAAATAGCAATCAGTAAAGTGATCTGTTACTGAAGAAGGAACAGGGACACAGAACCATCTGTGGAAATGCAGAAAGCTACCTCCCGATTACACAGGACACCGTGTGCCCGTGACCCTCCTCTCAGCAGCGTACCTTTACTGTGACTGTAATGACCATCACGGTGAAGACCAGAGTCCCAAATGTCCAGTTTCCAAACATCTAGACAGAAAAAAGATACCTCTAAACATTATTTGTTAGCATGGCATTCAATCAGATAGAAGGTAAAAGGGAGGTCCACTCGCGTCACTTGAAGTCTCTGCAGTCAGGGACAGTCATAGAAGGCAAGAGTGTGAGAAGAAGCCCCAGAAGGCACCGTTAGGCTGATTAACACGAGCAGCCGTCCTCTGGCTGTCCTTATCATCAGGGAAACCCGAAGATCGGTTTAGGACTGCGCGGCACAGGCTGTCTTCAGTTAGCAGGGAACAGTCAGCCACCGCTGCTGGTTTCCTTCCTGTCACAGTAAAAATGCAATCAAAACCCTGCGCTTCACTGCTACTTTACGAAACCTTGCCAACAACAAACTGTAACAGGTCACTCGCCACAGTAGTTCTGGACACAGCGTAAGCACAGCGGAGAAAAATGGATTCATACCTGAAATCAGTATCTTAGAGAAAAGATAATGGACAACGGAGTTATTCCTCAGAGGAGTCCACGTAAAAATGCAGTTAATGCCAGTCAGGAAGCACTCCAGGGTCTTTTTTTTTTTTTTTTTATTTGGAGAGATTTTTGTTATAAGGTGGATGCGCTCTCCAGTGAGTCAGGAAGTGAGAAATCACCCTCAAGAGAGGACGGCCATGCCACAACACCTGCTTTTCCATTCTCCCCTTGGGATTTTGGGCATGCACACACACGTGCCTGGCATGAGTTTTAGGCCACTGGATCTGGGACTCAGACTGCGGTTTGACCTCGCGGGAGTCCAACAATGTAACCATTACACCATCTGCTGGTTCCACTCCAGTGGTCTTCATAGCCTAAACTTACTAAGGCTTATTAAATACGCAGAATCCTTAGAGTATCAGGAATTGAACTCCACAAATAATACAACCAGAAGTTTATGTTATTAAGTTTACAAAGCAGTTGCAATCTTTTTTTTTTTTTGGCTAGGGCACGTGAGTTCATCAAAAAGAGAGACACAGAGAGACAGAAAGTGAGAAATCACCCCCCAATGGGTATGGTCATGCCGCAGTCCCTTCTCCTCCATTATCCTCTTGAGATCTTGGGCATGCACGCACACGTGCCTGGTGTAAGTTTAAACCACTGGGTCTGGGATTCGAACTATGGTAGACTACATGGGAGTCCAACAACGTAGCCATTACGCCATCTGCTGGTCCTAGTAGTCGCAATCTTAACACTGGTTTAAAAGATTACTTAAAATACTATTACAGATTTCTAACAATTAGTTACTTGACAAATTACTTGGCTTCTCTGTATCTCACTTTCATTTGTAAAATGAGGGTAAATCTCATAGGTTTCTATAAGAATTAGGGTATGCAAAAACGAAAAGGTACTTGGTACATAAAAAGCAATCAGAAAATAGTAGTTATGATTGTCAGTGATGAAGCATAAATCAACATTCCTGTTAGAGGACAGCGTGGGAGTTCATACACTGAGGACAAAATGGAAGCCACACTGCTTCCATGCTTACTTGCTACTTTTATTATCTCTAGAAAGGACCCAGAAATACCTAGTGTTTCAACTCAGTTCTCCAGAAATAGGGTCATACACTTTGGGTAGCCAGGAGACCTGGGCCTGGGAGTGGAACAGCACCCATCTACCCTTCAGTATCTGGGCTTATTGAGTGTAGACTGAGGTATGTTACTGGCATCTTCCTTAGAGGAGGAGGAGGGTGTCCAGCTTCCTCCTGCACAGGCCTCACTCAAGGTCCCAGCAGTTAGTATACTGGCTATGTCGCTGGACTCCCATGTAGTCAACTGCGGTTCGAGTCCCGGACTTGGTGGCTTAAACTCACGCCGGGCTTGTGTGCGTGCGTGCCCAAGATCCTAAGAGGAGAATGGAGGAGAAGGGATTATGGCGTGGCCATTCCCCCGGGGGGTGATTTCTCGCTTTCTGGCTCTCTGGCTTTCTCAGTCCTTCTGGCAAGCACATGTGTCCTATAGCAAAAACTTCTCCTGCAAACAAACAAACAAAAAAAACAAAAACAAAAAACCCAAGCAACCACTCACTCACTGACAGCCAGCCAGGTGTGCGTGGCATGGTGACACGGTGGCTGGATCTCACATGGCTGTGAGGGGCCTGCTTCAGACCCAGCGTACCTGTGTGTGCATGCACAAATGTAGGAGACATGATTGTGGCAGGCTGTTCCCCCTGGGGGCTGATTTCTCACTTTCCCTCTCACTCTTTGTCTTTCTCTGGTGAGCGCACACACCCTAGAGAAATACCAAAACAAAATAAACCAAACTCCCACATTTGCTTAAGTTATTATTTCAACTGTAATCAGTTACAACTGCTGTCTCTCCCCTCTGGTTTTCCATGGGCTGAATGACGCTGGGTGGTGGAGAGCACTTCGGGATCTGGCTAAAGAGAAGGGAGTTGAACTCAGGTTTGGTTTGGGTTAAGTGGGGCAGATTTATATTTAAGCTGGTAGTTGAAGTTGCATGTTTTTCTTAGAAAGGGCCTGCGGAAATGTTTGAGACTGCTAAAATGTGGATCCGCCCCTTCCCAAAAGACAGAGAGGCTCAAATCTCTCAATCCCCACCCGTCGGCTTTCGGAAGCCTTCCTAGATGGGAAGTCCGTGGCCCTGTAGGCTGAGCCCCAGGGTGGCTCTGCTCTGAGCAGGCTTCTCACTGGCCAGCTGCTGCCTCCCCGGGGTTGTGGCAGGGCGGCCTCACTAGCATGGGTGTGCGAGTGCTAGGGGATCCAGTGGGAGAGCCAGGACGCTAACACCCTGCAGCTCACAGCACAGCCCACGGGTACGTGAGCAGAAACCCCAATTCTGAGGGTGGAGAAGAGGAGGAGAAGCTGAAAAGCAGTAGTAAAAAGACTAGGAAGTCAGAGTACATTCCAGAAGCGGAGAAGAGAACGCAGCAGGATTGCTTCATAAACCATGCCCAGTGGGCGCTGAGACCTGCTCTCCGAGTTAGTAACGTGGGGCTGGGTGGGAATGGCTTTGAGGGACGATCGGGGCTAAAACCCACAGTCCCTTGGCTATATTCACGGGGGAACAGGAGGCTGGGACATAAAAACAGTGGGGAAGGAACTTCAAGTTTTACTCAAAAGATACAAAAAAATATGTAGCCAGAACAGGAGATTTGGGTGGACCAAGGAAGTGAGTTCTTTATTAAAAGATGGGAGATCTTAGAGCATGTGTGTATGGTGACGAGTTTGATCCACCAGAGCACGAAAGAGGAGGGTGCAGGGCAAGAGTCCTGGGTTATAAAGAGGTGTAAGAATAAGTAAGAGACCAGCCAGAGGCACGGTAGTTAGGGGGCTGACTCTGTGTGGCTGATCACATGGCCTGAGAAACACGCTGGGCATGTGTGTGTGCCTGCCCAAAATCCCAACAGGAGAGAGAATGGAGAAGGAGTTATGGTGTGGCCACCACACCGGGGGCACTTTCTCACAATCCTCCTCTTTTCTCTCTGGTGAGCACAGGGGAACTACAGCAAAGAAACAAACAAAAAACTCAAAAAACCAAAACCAAACCAACTCAAACCAAACCTGATTGGTAACGACAGTACTTAAACCACGGGAACTGAAATTAAGGACACATGTATTCTCCACGGAATACTGACACGATTAGTGTATGTCTAGTCTTAACAGAGCTCTTACCATTTGCTGGTTAGGTTTCAACAGCTGATGACATGTATAGCATGAAAAAGAAATTAATTAATAATAAAAGATGGGGGAGGAATTGTTAGAAATTCAAGGAAAAATAGTAGCAAATACAAAAAAGGGCTTATTTTTCTCTTTAGTGCAAAATTACAACCTCAAATTTCATCTCCTTGATGTGTTTTGTATTATCAATTATTTACTCCCAACAAATGTGGCAAATGGCTCTTTATTATAAAAAATAAGGAATGACAAGAACTCTCTTATACCATTCTAAATTAGAGATTGGACTATTGTACATTCCCTGTGAAAAACAATACAGAGATTTCTCAAAAATCTACAAATTGAACTTCCATATGATCCAGCAATCCCACTTCCTGGTATTTACCCAAAGGATAAGAACACACTCAACTTGGGGCCAGCAGGTGGCGTGGTGCTTAGGGGTGCTGGACTCTCACATGGCCAACCCTGGTTTGAGTCTCAGACTTGGCAGCTTGCTCTCTCACTTTTCCTCTCTCTCTCTATTTCTGTCTCTGGTGAGCACATGTGCCTTGTAGCAAATTTAAAAAATAAGTAAATAAAATAAAATTTAAAAAATGACTTAAAGAATGTCTAAAATCTAGTGACTTAAAATATTTTCATGTTATATCAAAATCTCTCATAAATAAACTATTTTATAACATAATTTTACCTTTTGTCAAAGCACTAGTAATAAAAAAGGTGCATATACTTTTCATTAATGATAAATTTGCTTAAAAATTTATGGAAGAGGTCTGGCAGGTAGCATGGTGGTTAAAGCTCTAGACTCCCATATGATCTACGGTGGTTCAAGTCCCAGACCTGGTGGCTTGCTTTCTCACTTTCCCTTTCTTTCTCTATGGTCAAATTTACAACAACAACAATAATAATAAATAAAATTCAATAATCCTTCAAAAAGTTTTAAACATTTAAGGAAGTATGAGATTAAAATCTCTTAGTATCAAACATTATAAATCTGTAATATCCTATGTACCCTATTTAAAAATAGTTCCTGGGTTGGGCGGGTGGCATGGTAGTTAAGGCAGCTGGATCCCACATGGCCAACTTGTGGTTTAAGTCCTGGACCTGGTGGCTTGAAAACATGTCGGGTATGAGTCATTTTAGGGTAAAAGAGAAAATGAAGAGTTCCTTCTGATAACTCAGCCTCCAGCAAACAAGTTAATGTGATGAATAGAAATCACCACAGGACCACAAGAAATATGGAAAAGCAAGAAACTACCTCTCCTCAAAGGGAAAAGAGTAACTCCTCTTCATCCACAAGCAGTTCAATGGAAATCATGAAAATGTCTGATAAAGAATTTAGAACATTCTTAATGGCAAAGCTAACAGA